TACTTACCAGTGGAATATCTTGTTGCTACTATTTAGTTTGAACTTTATGCATTTTCCATGTTTCTGTTAGATACTATCTACCTGTTTCATGCAGAAATCACTCAAGTAGTAGAATTTTAAAGAATTTTAATTTTTCTGTTATGATTATAGGTTAGGAAAAATGGACTGGCTCTTATTTAATGAGATAATAATTCTGTTTCATACACCTCATTCATGGTCATCAGCCTGACTTTTTTTTCCCCAAATAGTTTTTACTTACATTTCATATTTTCCAGCAGTTTAAAAAGTTTTATATGGCCTGCTTTTTGATAAGAAGGTAAAGATACACTGATTCCACAATATTCTGTAACATGTTCCACTTTAAGTGCTGAAAATAACCCCTCAACACATACTCTAAATATATCACTCACTACCATAGTGAATTTATCACACCGAGTTCAAACATGTAGGCATGCATTCAAATGAATCTTTACCTGTTCTTATAGTCAGTAGAACAAGTGAAATTTATTCTGGTTTAGAAAACTGTCAAAAATTGGGATGTGTTGTTTTCTAAAGGTGTACATCTATTACGGCTCTTGAGAACCTGGGCAGCTCACCCAGGCTGAAACTCTGACATTGAGTGAGATGCATCCCATGCAGAGGGACACAGGTTCTGGAATAGAATAAAATGTTAGTGTAAGTTTCAGAAGTTTAGGTCTGTGCTCTGTGGTGACATGAATTTGCTTTTCAAATATGCATGCAGCATTGTGGTAATAAACATTGCCTGTGTCATGGCCGACTCACTCTATGTCTTATATTAGGTGCAAGAGAAAAACATAAATAATCATGTATTAAGGTATCTGTATATGTATGCTCACTGCAGTATATATGTTGGGTATATTTTGTGCAATCATTTTTTAAAGTCTGGAGAATCATGCTGGTGATGTACAATGATTAGGATTACTTACTGTGTGTGCTTTAGAGAATTTCTTTTCTTATCTGTTTTTGAAATGTAGTCATTGCATTTTTGTTAGACTTATTGCCATGTATGAACTGAAACAAGATCTAATTAAACTGTTTTCTGCCGTAACCTCTCTGCCTATATCATGACTCCTAAACTGTACATATTTGTTAATTTGTAACGCATACTTGAGAGTTGTGTGTTTGCTTGGTATTTACTGAGACTGATAAAGACAAGTGGTATTCAGTGAGATTTTACTTTTTATTTTTTGCTTTCATGAGGGAGAAAAAGAGTATCGTACTATTTTACAGGAGAATGAAATAAACTGTCAGGGAGTTCAGGTGGATGGCCAGTCTTGGAGCGAGCGTTAGTGACTCAGGGTGAGAGAGTGCGTGCGTACGTGCATGCACAGGTGGGTAATCATGTTTCTGTGTGGATATGCCACGGTTGGGCAACCACATAAGCTGCTGCAGTTTACTTGTAAACAAAGTCATTTACATACTTTTTTCTGGGGAGCCCAGAACTGGGCACAGCACTCCAGTTGGCACTCGGTGGCCTTACCAGTGCTGAGTGGAGGGGAAGGATGACCTCCCTCAACCTGTTGGCATCACTCCTCATAAAGCAGCCCAGGATACTGGTGGCCTTATTTGCCACAAGGATGCATTATTGGCTCATGTTCAACTCGGTGTCCCAAGGACCCCCAGGTCGTTTTCCACAAAGGTTCTTTCCAGCTTGTCAGTCCCCAGCATATGGGGTTGCTCTTCCCCAGGGTGCATGGAGTTGTTCCTCCCCAGGTGAAGGGCTTTGCACTTCCCCTTGTTAAACTTCATAAGGTTCCTGTCAGCCCATTTCTCCAGCCTGCTGAGGGCCCTCTTGATGGTAGCATGACTCTCCAGTGTATGAGCCACTCCTCCCAGTTTTGTGTCGTCAGCAAACTTGCTGAGAGTACAGTCTGCTTCATCATCTAGATCATTAATGAGGATGCTAAACAGGATCAGACCCCATGTTGACATTTTGGATATACATTACTGGCCTCCAACTAGACTTTGTGCTGTTGATCACCACTGTCATGGGCCTGGTCATTCAGCCAATTTTCAGTCCACCTCACTGCTCATCCACCCCATTTTTTTACTTGTTAAGGAAATCTACAGATTATCACCATTTTCTCCTTGGGCCACGCTGAAGTTTCTCATTCTGCTTGTTTGCCAATAACTCTAAATAACCTGGCACAGATTTTTGCATCTCATAAGAAGTTTCAAACATAATTCCGTGATTCACAGAGTCTTTACAGAAAAGCTTATAGTAACTAGACATTGCAGGAATCTATTATTTGTAGAATAAGTTGTAATATACCACCAAAGGAAATTTTTGGATAATCCTTACATTGTTGGTTTTGACTGGTTTTTAAAAAAGACATTCAATACTTCAGGAAAGAGCCACAGAAATTCTTTTGACTGCAAGGTCTTTCATTTACATAACCTTTATACATTTTCACATTTCTTATGAAAATTCCTGGTTTTCTCTTTACATATTTAATTTCCCCACTAAGGAGATCCCCATAAAAAAATCACATGTATTGCATTCCCCTCAAGGCTTATTCCCTCCTATTTTTCTTTCTCATTATACGTGATCAATCTTATTTTTCCTGTTTTAGGAGGTTTTTCCTAATGGGAACGTGATTTTCATCAGGACTATCTGTCTATCAGAAGATGTAGCCAGTCAGTGTTTAGATATCGTTAAAAGGGTTCTGACTCAGCCAGGCTGATAACAATTTGATTGAATTACATACAGAAGAGCTGCTGAAGTATAATCTGTTTAATGGTAGACTATTTAAAAACCAAACATTTGCTAGGTAAATATGCTTAAACATGGTTGAATTTTCAGCATCTCACATAATACGTACTTACAGGTTGTTGGTTTTATTATAACAATATTGGTATACTATTAATGTTTAATGAAGTGTATTACCTCGTGTCATCCTTTTTTTTCATATCACTCTTGAGATGTTGAGAAGTTGCAAAAAGATCCTTTTTCAAAACTGAGCAGGATCTATCATATTTCTAGAATTTTAACAGATTGTGCACTTCCATGTGGTTTTGTTCTAACTGTATTGTTAACAAATGAGAACATGTTATCAGAATTGGTTTGTGGGACATATTGCATGGTCTAGATTACACTTCAGCCTGGATTCTTGCTACTAGCACTCCTTTATATGAAAACCCTTTCATATGGGAGAAATCCTGTCAGGACCTTATTCTCCTTTCCTCCTCTGTACTTTGCTAATGTGGTGGAGTGTTTTCGATAGATCAGAATGATCCTTGCAAACTCAGCAAAAGAAAGAAATGTAATGGTTACACTAGACACAGTTTGGATGTTAATTTGAACCAGTAGTCAAAGTAGGTTTCTTTTAAGTATCTATCTTGCTTTTAGCACTAGATGTCAACAACTGAGTACATTAACTGAAATTTCTAATCACATTTAGTGTTGTTGGTTATGTCTATCTACTTATCTATAAAACTGCTTAACAATTAATGTTAATTGCCTACACAATTATATTTGCAGTCCCTTAAGTTCATGAGTATTTACTCATTATTTATATTGTGCAACTGTAAAAGATAACTGGGAAGAACAACAGCAGCCTCGTTATAGAGGGACACTTTAAAAAAATGATTTTACAACTCCAATTTTGAAGTCAACGCATTCTTACTGTTCAAGTTAAAATGGCTGATCTTGCTTGTACAGCACCAGACTTTTTCAGGATAGTATTTCATTATGGTTCTTACTGTCCTGCCTCGAATAAGGTTAGAGGGGAACAGCAGTTTTGGTGGGGGGTTGTTCATTTTTTCATTTGATACATTTCCTATTCCCAGTCTTCCTCTTTATTGTTTTATTGGTAGCTTTTTCTACACTGACCTAATCCTGAAGCAATAAGATCAGTTCCATGACTAGATTACATGGCTCAAACTCTATCTTGGTTTTCCTCTTGTGCAATCATTTGAGGTCTGGTCAGTATGTATGTGGCTCAGGAGAAGTTTAATGCAAAGTGTTTGTATATAAGTGTTTGCCATTGATTTCAGACCAGATCTTACCAACTTTCCAGAAAAAAAGTAAAGGCCAGTGGATTTCTTTTTTGTTTTGTTTTGTTTTGTTTTTTTCCTGAAAATTAGAAAAACAATGCAGAACATTAATTTTAGATAGAAAAGTAGTGCAAGTGACAAAAATCTCCCAGACAAGACCACTCTATTCTGAAGAGATTATCTTCTCTTGAAATACTTTAGCTTCTTTCACATTTCTGGATTTGGACAGTATCTTCAAACTGGGCCAAATTTTGTGAAATTATTATTTTTCTGTGGATTGCTTTTGGTTGAAGCATCAGTCTAAGATCAAATTCATTTCATCTATGTGTTATTCATGACTATAAAAGCATGATACAGAGCATCTCAGACAGTAAAAATAATCAGGTTTATCTGATAAAAAATAGCACATGTATTAGACTTATTACCTTGTTAGTACAATGAATTCCATGGTGAATCCTTGTGGTATTTATTCCAGGAATACCAAATGGATGCTTCTGATAAAAAACGTGTCTCCTCTTTGTCAGTAGGGATGGCAGGGTACTCATAAACACAGAATTAAGTTTAGATTTCTCTGGTTAGGTTGAGTGTTATAATCATACTGCAAAATGCAAAATATGCAAAGGGATTCTGAATGGATCTGTAAATATATCATCTTTCATTAGACTGATGTATTCAAATGTCATGTGGTTAGCTGTGTGATGTTCTTGCTTGCTAGTATATGCAGAAGTATTTTTGAACTCAGTCTTCTGAAAGAGGGAGACAGAGAAAAGTAGGATTTCATAACAGAAAAAAAAGAACTTGGTATGAGAGTATCAATAATTTCTGCATTACTAATTAGTGTGTTGCCATAGTTTTGAGGCATTTCTCATTTCCAAGAAATATATGTATAATTATATCCTTGAAGTGCATTGTCAAATTTTAGCACATTGACATTATCACCAAGATATTGAACAAAATTAATTTTTTCTTTCTCAATTTTTAAGATCCGGATTTTAAGGACCTTGGCGTTTTGAAACCATTGCCAGGTTGGTATGTTGGTTTGTTTTTTTTTTTAACTTGGATGCCTTTGCACTCTGCTGTAGAAAATATTTTTGTTTGCTGTTCAGGTTTCATTTTTTCTGGTATTTTGTTATTCAGTTTGTGAGTTTGAGATGGGAGGACCTGAAGGAATTGTGGAATCTGTACAAATTGTCAAAGAAGGAAAAGCTTCTGAAACTGAAGCAGTAGACTGTAAATGGTACATCCGAGCACCACCCCGATCCAAGGTCAGTCTTTCATCCACTTGCTGATTTGCCATTTAATTTAAGAAATTGATTTTTGTAATATGTTGTGCATTTCTTAGTACAGTCAGACCTTGTTTAATAACTTTACAGCTTGAACTTGTAAACTATTTTTTTCCTTCTGTGTGGAAGGGTAATTTGTCAGCCAAAATAACATTCTTTCTCTATAAATAATGATGTAGGCAATGTTAATGTGCTTTTTGTGCCATAAGTAATTTTCTTAAATTCATCTTTAATTTTTTCTTATATTTTTAAAGGATCAATGTATTTTATCAAGCAGCAGGTAATCTTATCACTTTAATTTTCAATATATTTCAAGTACCTAATATAGAGACTACTAAGGGAACACTGCTGGCTCCCTAAAGTCATCACTGTCATCTGGGAACTGTGAAAATGGAGCCAGAGTAAATTCATGTTCCTCTGTATGAGACCTTTGATTTAAAGCCACAGACAAAAAAATAGTGTTCTCCTTTCTCTCCCACCACAGTCTCCAAGCCATGCCTTTGTACAAAAGAGGAAAGGGCTGCAATGAATTTAACAGTTCTTGGATTCTGTTTGAGTTCCTCTCTTATCCATGGCTTATCAGTTATTATATGGATTAATTTTTGCTGGTTACACTACTGTCTCTCTGCTCTTTGCAATTGAAACAGCTTTGTGCCTCCCACCTACTTTCATTCACTGTGTTAAAACTTCACATTATATTTTTTCTAGCTGTCTTTTATTGGACAAGAAAGGTTTTACAATGTAGAACTTATATATCCCCTAATCTCTGCCATCTTTAAACAGATAGATAAGGGTTTTTTGTGTAATCTCAGAGCAGACTGTACTGAATATATCTAACTGTTCAAGCATTTGATATTGAAGAAACAGGAGGAAGGGTTTCCAGAAGAGAAAAAGTCAGTATCAGCATTTTTCTTTTGTGAAAGTTTAGGAGAGGATTTGAATAGTTGGCTCACAAAGACTACAGATAAATTATTTCCAGAATATGCTTTAATCTTTTAATCTTTTTTTTTTTTTTTTTTTTTTTTTACTTTTGGATAAATTCAATATTCAGAGGTTTTCAGTTAAGTGTATGAGCTTCCCACTTTGCTACAGTAAGTAGCTATGGATGTGAAATGACTGGACTGATGAATGATTATTACATATGTTATATACTTAAGTATTAGTATAAAGAAATCAGGTAAACACATAAGTAAAATTGTGTTTATTAGAATCCTCATAACCAAATAAACTAATAAAAGTGTCCTATAATCACAATTTCAGTTTACACTTAGTTGGTCAGATAATGTCATTGTGATATTTTACTTGATATAACTCTGAAGTTCGGTATAATTCAAAGTCCTGATAGAAATCCCATATTTACATGTAGGATTTATCCACACTTCAGTCCTGATGTAAAAATTGTGTAGCTACATAACCATAACCACAGTGTTTAACAAGAATGCCACATTACCACTGTTAAAAGAGGATTAAAGTTTGTTTAGTTCTTCGTGAACTTCTATACCTGCATTTAGTTGTGTTTCATTTCAAGAAATTTAGAAGAGCTGAAGAGCATCTGGAAGGGAGAGCAAGGAGAGAGTTCTAGAAAACTTGAGGAAAGACTGGAAGTTATTTAATGTAACCTAGAAGATTTTGTGAAGGAGCATGATACCAGATAATAAAAGGCTTTTACAAAGAAGGAATGTTCTGATGTCTGTGTCTATAGGATAAGCCATGGTCCTGCGCTCCAAAAGATTCAGGTTAGATATGAGGGAAGAAAATTTCAAACAACAGAGAGAGGATTATGAGTGATTGTTTAAGGAAGTTTGTTCAGCCATTATTGCTAGCGATCTTAAAGTGCAGAATAGATAAAAGCCTATGAAAAATGAAAGAAACTTTACTAATCCTACCTTTAGGCAGATGAGTGCGCTGGATCATCTCTTGACCAATCCTGAGGCTCCCATGTCACAGAATTTTCTGGGTAGTGAGATAGGGCAATATAAAAGCATATAAATCAATATTTCCTAATATGTGAAGCTGAAAACTTTTTCACTAAACTAGGAAAAAAAGCAGTTTTCAAGCCTAGATTCATCTTAGAGGGATAACTCAAATTTAGGACTTTAGAACTTTCTTAGTGTGGTTTTCACACACACACACATTTTTATACACACACACAAATATATACATGTATACATATACACATATAGTTATGGTATTGCTATACTGGGAAAGGTTGAAAGTTTTTCAAATATTAAGGAAGAAATCAGTAGATAAAATTTTAAAAAATCTTGTAAGAAGTAAGATTTATGGTAAGATTGTTTATGGGCCTGATTCTATTGAACTGGATTCTATTGTCCATATATTACAGTCAACTTCCTTTGTGTTTATCTAACCTTGAACTAACGACATAGTACAATAACTCAGTGACATCATTCCAATTTATTGCAGCTTGCACCTACGGAAACAGGCTCTCCTGCTAAGAACACTAAGAACTCAGCAGATGTCTTTAAATCCACATGTTCCTGTACTCTGGCCCGCACAGTTTGTTACTGAGATCTATGCCTGAAAGGCCAGAATTTCTCAGACAAAGTTTTGGTTGGATCTTTACATCTTTAGTTTCTTAATTAAACTGTGCCAGAATGTGGGCTGCTTGCAATTTCATTTGGCTTAAGCTCATCCAATCTAAACTGTCTGCAGGAGCAAGATGCAAGTCCTTTCCTTGGTTTGCAATTCCACATTCAAGCCAAGTCTGAGCTCAACATATGAGCAATGAGATCAGTCAGGGAGTATGAACTTCAGGTCTCTAAGCCTGAGTTTCAAACTGACAGTCTGGGTGTACCATTGCTGCTATCCTCAGCAAGCTGGAATGGGACAGGGTACAGCAAATTTCTTGCACACACTTAAAATAGAACCATCATTGATTATCTTATAGAACCAAAAGTAAAATGTTGAAATTGCATGCAGAACTGAAACTTTCTGGAAGTGCAGAAGGCAGTTTAAATGCAACTTCAATCTATACACAGACCTGGAGCCTTATGTTTGACAGTGACTGGTTGCAAACTGTGTGTTTCTTCTAATCATTCGAAGTCAGGTCCTGCTGAGTAAGATAGCTATGAATGTGCAGTTCAGAAATACTGGGAGTTCTGCACTTCATATAGAAGCAGACTTCAATCAGTAGAAAGCAAGAATGGAAAACGAAGAAGAGAGCTGCTGACCAAATTTGCCAACCTACCCAAACCAGTAAAGAGCTGGAGAATCTTCCCATCCCAAAAATTCTTCACTATAGAGCAAAGCCCAAAGGAGGAAGTGGATAAGCTTATTGTGCACTGGGATTTGAAAAAATTCAGACATATCATTGACTACAGCACTGGATAAGCAAAGAATCCTCTATTTATGAATAGAAAATTAAAAGAATGATACTATTTTCTCACTTTCTGTTACGGGTGACATGTTAGAGGATAATATACACAACAAGCGTTTTTCTATTATGGATATGTCAGCAGAGTTTGCCTCCCAGGAAGACAGAACACATGCTTGTGCGCAGGTAGTGCTCCCTTTGGTGGGTAACTTTCCCAGCAAGGTACCATTATATTGTTTAGGGAAAAAAAGACAGCAGGATTTGATGGGAAAAGTAATAAAACCTTTACAAAGATGATGCTCTGTGCTGGGAAAAAAACAGTAAGCAGTGCTTATAATCGGAAGCTCTGGTCAGTTCGGGAAAGAGCATCCAAACTACAGATAGAGAAGCATTATTTTGAATTTGGTCCAGTGGAAGTTATGTATTCAGGAGCAACAAGCAAGAAGTACATTTAGACTGGGCAAAGAATCTAAACACACCGCAAGAAATAAAATGAAGTTGTAAATTAGTTAGGCAAAGTGATGTCTAATTCTCCCACGCCATCTGAGCACACTACTGGGCAAAGAAGATACCTTTATTGCCTGTGTCAATGGGGCCAGCCATAGCTTGACCTGGGGTGGCAGCTTCGTGAGGCGAGGCAGCGGCAGTGAGGCTCGAGGCCAGGCATGAGCCAAAAGCCCAGGTGGGACCAAGGCACGTAAGTATTTACAAAGAAGAGATACGCTACCTGGCATAGGCTTTAAATCACTGATCATTGTTTTCATGGTGGACCTTGTACCCGTGTACCTCATCAGTGAGATGATGCTTTCGGTTCCAGGTGCTTGACTTTCAGATTGAATGTAGTGTGGAGAGAGAATGGGCCATCGTGCACGCATTACCTCGTCAGTTAGGAAGAAACACGTGGTGAAGCAAATTGCAGAGCTACAAGACTGTATAAACCAATCTGACTAAACCATTCTGTTCTCACATGTGGAATGGAAACCTGTGCTCTCTTAGGAGACCTGCAAGAATAACAGTTTAAGCTGTCAGCACTGGTGGGCTAGCATATCCCTAGTTTTTGGAGGCTTCTTAATCAGATGTAGAAGAAAAGCTTTAAGTGGAACACTAAAATTTAATGGGAAGCATTTGAATGGTGATTCCTGAAATGCTACAGAAAAATGAAATTTAGAAGCTGGAAAACCTAATAGACAAAGACAGTTTTACAAGCTTCAGATGAGTTCCACCTCTGAAGAAGCTCCAAATCCTGCTAACATACAGATAATGAAAATAATATTATGAATGAAAAAAAACCCCAACACATACATATAACATCCCTGGAACAAAGTGAACAAATTATGTTTAAACAAGTAGAAAATATTGTTTACCTCTGTTAAACAGTTCAAAGCACTTCTTTGAAAGCGTTTTGTTAGATGAAGATGCAAGACTAGCACATGTGTAGAATCGCATATGTAGAATCTCTTCTAACAGACATGGTAATACACATTCCAGACTACCACTGACAAAAAAAACCCAAACCACTTTTAAGTTAGAATAAATCTATTCCATTCAGGTATAGAAATATAACCAACCTCAGCAACCTCAGGCCAAATAACTGTTAGGAAATGCAATAAAAAAAAGTTACTGATGAAAGTAATAAAACATCTACAAA